CGGGAGGGGGCACCGGGAGGGACGCGTGTTGTCTCTGCGGGGTGCTAGTGAAGCCGGTACAGGCACGGGAAGGTCGGGAGGGTTCGGGAGAGGGCTGGGTTTGGGTGCAGAAGCAGCATCTTGCCCGGCTGGGCTGCGAGCGGGATCGCAGCCATCATCAGGGCGCTGCATCTTGCAGGGATGTGCCTGGAAGCTGCAGGGAACGGGCGGCAGCGATGCTGTGATAATCCCCGGGAGTCGTGGGTCGCGAACAATGTGAGCGCGGCTGTTCCCTGCCTCCCTCACGCTGGGGTTGCCCTGGGAGAAGCTGAAGGTTGCCTTCTCGGTTAGGAAGGACCGTGCCCGTTCCCAGTGCCGGAGAGAAGCCCCGCGCTGTGGCCTAGGAGGAGCGTTTAGTTCGCGACCTTCTCATCGCCAGTTCCTAGCCCTGGGATGGCGGGCTGCTCGGGGTTGAAGTTGATGGCCTAAATTCCTCTGCGCCCCGTGGTTTAGTTTTTTACAGCTCTGCACATTTGTTCCAAGCTATTCTTTATGTCCTGTTAAATATATAGACTGCAGAACTCCTGCAAGTAACCGCTCCCCGAAAGCCTTGCCCAATCCAAATTGTCCAGATGTGCAGGTCTGGCAAGCTGAATGAGGCTGGGAGAAGATTTTTTTCTTTCCTAAAGACTGTTCTTTGTTTCAGGTTTGACTGCTTGGTTTAGCGTGAGGACAGCAGTCCTATTAAGGTATCTACATGGAAGGGGTTAGAATACAGAGATTTTTGGAAATGCAATCAGCAGTGCCGAAAAATGAGAATGAATGACTGATGAGAACGCATTGCCCGTAGATGTGTAGATGGGAGGGGAGGCTCTACGGCTCTATTTGGAGGCACTGGAATTTAGCACATGTAGGGGGATCCTCAATAGAAATAAAGTTGCAGTACTGCTTTTCAAAGGAGACATAATTCTACATTCATTTCAGAAAAGATGTAACATATTAAAATATTTACGAGCTTCACTAAATTCTTATACAGAGTAAATAAAATATTGTAATCGTTTTGATAGTAAGCTTCATAACCGGAGTAGCAGTTACTAAATGTTAACCCTCAAGAAATTTGGTAAGAAACTTAAAACCAATTGAATGTTAGACACGCATACAAATGAGGCAGTAACAGAAAATTATTTTTATCTATGAAATAAATATTCTCCTATGGATAGGTTTTGTAACATTAGACTCTTCTGAGAGAAGAAAATGTAGCTCTTGGACTTGTCTTCCATTTTTAGGAACTAGAACTTGACAAGATAGTTACCAACATTTGTCAGGCTGCTTCTTTATGCAGCGCTTGATTAGATTTATTAGTTTAATTTTTGGTGAGGTGTTTTGGAGGGAAAAAAGAACCAGAATGGAAGCAAACATTAAAATACTGTATATCTTTTAATGAGCCATTGTAAAATAAATTCCAGTACTGTATCAACAGATGATATGGCCAGAGTTTTTAAATAGGGAAGTTAAACTTAAATTGCGCTTTCATATTGAAGCAGTGAAAAAAAGTGGACTTTCAGACAAGTTGAACATTCAAGATAAGACTGCTTGTACAAGTAGTTCTCAGGTTTTATGCTCCTTACCTTTATCTTATTTTCTTCATCCAAATTGGGAGCACTTGAGTCAGGGAAACAGAATTAATATTAATCTGTGTTGTAGTATAAGCAAAATAGAAGGTTAAAGAAGAAATTAAAAGTTCAAACAAGGAAAACAACAGAATTACCATAGAGTGATCACCAACTTTCAAATTCTTATCTTTTGGTAGCACTGTCGTAATAACTACATTATGCTGTGATTACTAAAGTAATAAAAGAAAGTCCAGATCTCTCTAAGCCACCTGAGTTGCGTTGTTTGCCATAACTAGAAACTGGGTAATCTTACAAAAGTACAGCAAAAAATCCACTCTGGTACTACATGACCACTAACCTTCTTGTGCATCTGTTAATGAATGTTTTATGTCCGTAGGAGGCCAGGCAACTGCAAAAGAAATCTAATATAGCCTCTTAACATCACTGACAGAAACAATGAAAAGTTTTATCTTTGTATGTATTGGTGATAATGATCCAGTATCCATCTAGCACATTATTCAACAACAAAGTTGTTTTACTGTGCTTTAATGAGCTTCCTTTCTACAGCTTCTTGATGAACACCAGTGATGGTATGCTGGCCGGAATGTGCCATTTCTATAAGAAAGAAAACACCAAACTGTTTTTCATTTCTGAGTAATCTTATAGAACTTTCCGTTTTAATTGGGTGTTATGTCAACGTTAAATTCTTCTGAAAGGATTTCCCACTTTCACAGGTCTAACTCATCTTACATAAAAATGCTTGAGGGGACTTTCCAAAATAAGAGACAGGGTGCAGTTGCTCAACTGCCATTTTTCAAATAAGACAAAAAATGAAGGATTGACTCTGTGATCTGATCATGCAAGCCCTTCCACTTACGGGATTTCTTTTCTTTTTTTTTTTACTCAGTAGAAATCCTGTGGATGGCTGACTTGTGGATTTGGCTTCTGCTTTCTATTGGTGGCAGTGTATGTGTTAACACGCTACAAGCAAATTGCCATGTCTAAGCCAGATGTTAATAGAAATCACGCAATACACACACACCATTCATTGGAGAAGTAACTCAAGAATCACTGGTCATAGCACGGTTACCAGATCCATCTTGCAATTGAAATCAGTCTCCATTTGAGTAACTTTCTATAAGTGTGAGACAGCAGAGCTAATTTGCTGCCAAGCTAATCTTTTTGTGCACTACAACGAAGAAATGGGACTTAGCCAGTCCGCAATCTTCTCAGTTTTGCCAGTTTTATTTTTTTGTTGCTTTGGAGGCTGTGTTCTCTGTTTACTTCTCACCATTTGTTGACCGAGTTCCACAATTAGCACAGATTAAGCACATGTAGCTTTACTGAAACTGTGTTGATTTACAGCAACTCATGATTTGGAACTGAAACTGGTATGCAGTTCCATGTAATATGAGAATCAGATTTATTGACAGAGAAACATGAACTAAAAGTTAAGTTTAGGAATAGCAGATGCATATGTTATTAACACTTGGTGAATAAGGGGAGAAAAAGTAGCTCTTAAAGTGGTGATAAATTTGGACTGAAAACTACAAGAAGGTTGGCCAAGTATCAGAAAAGCAACAGAGTACAGCAGTGAGTAAAAGTACTTTAAAATGGAGGTCAGATATATTTACAAAAGCAATCATATGGCATGATTGCTTGTGATGACAGAGAACTAGGTTTGTTAGCTAAGGAGATCCCTTCCAGTCTCGTGTTCTGACTGAGACATGTTAACAAAAGGACGAAAGTAGAATAAGTAACTCTCATCTGGGCTATCTTCAATGTTTCTTCAATGTACTAGTTGCGCTACCACTGTAAATTAGCACTGTACAGAAATCAGAGTATTTCATACCATGCCAAACATGTTCAGTGATACAGCAGGTTAATCTTTCTTCCAACTTGCCTGCTATAGTTAAAATAAGTAAGTGATTAGGAAAATCCAATTATTACTTTTTATAATGCAGCAACATTTCTGCTGTAAAAGCAAAGGTATCAATCATAAAGCATTGGTAATGAGATTTACCTGCGTCCTTGGGGCCTTGCTAGACAAAGAGTGTGAGGATAAGTTGTGCTCATTGTAATTCAGACCAAGGTCTTGTCTTTATTAAGAACTAAATCGTGGACATATTTTAGGCATTACTGCCAACAGTGCAGCATTGGTTAGGAATATTATCATCACCAGTCTCACAGCTGTTTTTTACCAGCCAACTATAACAATCTGATTTTGCAAGAGCCTGAGTTATGTCCACCTTTGCATCTTACTCCTTGTAACTACTGCAGTTGCACTAGTGCTGACTAATGCTGTGATACAGGGACAGTTTTACATGCAGTTTCATTCCAAGGGAAAATATTGTCTCTGGACAAACAGTTATTTCCTATTGTTTTATATAAAAAATAAAAAGCAGGCTTCAATATTCCAGTAATGGAACGTACCATTTCATAACTCCCTTTTCTAAGGCTAGCTGCACCACTAAAAGGTAATTTGAAAACAGCGAAATACATCCATAATATTTCAGCTGTGAAATGAATTGCAATGAAATGGATTGTGGTTCTGAGTAATTTTTTCAGGACATTTCTCTTTGTCATAGAATTTGTCATATGATCTGATGGGCAGTCCAGGCCATTTGGTATCCAATCAATAACCTACTTAGTCAAGGTATGCTCATGTCCCAGCCACCGTAAGAAAGGGAAAAGAGGAGGGAGGAGCAAAACATACAAGTGCCAGCATACTGAACAAATGTCGGTCGTTAAGCTGTTCAAACAGTGCTTTGATTCCTCTTAATCATTCTGAGCTTATGGCATCTCATGGGTCATTCAAAAAAATGGAAGTCAAAGTCTAGTTGGGAAAGATTAAGTTAAGAATAAAGGTAGGGAGTATGTGGGTTTATTTTCTACCTTTTATTCAGGCCTCCTAAGAGGAGGGATCTTTAATGGTTTGAGTGTAGGAATAGTTTCTACTAGATTCAGCTGTGGGGCAGGTAAGTTTTCTGTTTATTCTGTCTGGATCTTTCCTTCATAACCAGGTCTGCTAGTCCATTTGTTTTTCGAAGGTTTCCAGTTTTCAGTTTCCAGAAGCTGATGCAGAATGCAAAGGCATTGCTTATAGGGACAGTTCCACCCTTCTGCCAGTGCCTGCATGCTC